AGGGAGGTGGCATGCGGTGGCGGGGCGGGCGGGAGACGTCCTGCTGAGCTGATTTCTAAGAGTTTGTGTTGTTTGCAGCCGCTCCAGTAACTCCAGTAGGGAGGTCGTGCTGCTGCTGCTGTGGGTGTCAGGGAGAACACACGAACGTAAACATAAAGCAAACAAATAAAAGCACAACACGCGCTCAAAGGTCCTCGTGCCTGAAGAGAGCTCTACGGCCGTGGGAGAGGAAAGAGGAAGAGGATAGAATCATACAGATGAGTAAGTGTGGCGAGCGCGCTGCACTGAAAGAGTGAATTATTAAGCTGCCATACTGCAGACTGACACTGTGTGTGTGTGTGGTGTGTGTGTGTGTCTGTGTGTGTGTGTTGTGGTGTTGTTGTCTGTGTTGTGGGTGTGTGTCTTGGTGTGTGTGTGTAGGAGGAGGGGAAGGCTTACTCGGACTCCGAGGGCTGAAGAGTGCTGCCTGTTCAGAGAACGTCAGACCAGTGACCTCACGCACACCGCCACTGGGTACAGCACATCGCCACACACCACACGACACGGCACACCAGCACCACCACACACCAGAGCTCAAACCACCACTGCTGTTAGCCTGACTTTGACCCTCTGTCATTCTCCCTCAGACGGGCGCGGGTATGGATACTGGGGGGTGAAACTGAAGAGCAATGATGGACTGTTTCTCCATCCAAACAGGTTTTATGGAAATTATGATTATGGTTACACGTGATGTATATTGAATCACATGTTCATTATATTATGTAGTATTATATTTTATTAATTTAATTTAAATTTATATAAATTAAATGTAAATGCGGTATATTATATTATATTAAATGTATATTACAGCTGATTATTATTGAAGTTCACATTTTCAGTATATTTGGATTGGTAGTATCTAGTATTTGTCATTATATTAACGTTAAATTTATATTGAAGATTTATAATCGTACTGGCCTTACTAGTCTGAGTATTAAATGGGGTATATTACACTATTATATGGAAGGGAAGCGGAGAGTTGTCCGATCTTATATTGAGATTATACTTGGAATTTGATTATATTTGATTAATATTTAATTAAGATTTAAGTATATTCATACTTATATTAAATTATATTACATGTGGATTATATTAAGCTAGGATATAAATTTAATTTTATTTTTGAACTATATTAGAAATATGATTATACATAAATTATATAAATGTATATTGAAGTATATCCACATTTTAATTATATTATGGAGTCATATTATATTATATTGAGTCATATGTGATGATTATGATGGATGATGGGAGTGCATTATATATATTAGATTAGTATTAGTATGATATGATCAATTACTATTATGATTCTGACGTGGCCTGATGTGGCACTGTTTGTGTCCGTTCAGAAGGTGTGGCTCAGCCGGGGGGTTTCCATGGCAGCGGGGCGGACAACGTGGTCGCAGCGTTCCGGGTCAAAGGCAAAAAGGGAGCGTTGGCCACGAGGAATGAATTTCCCGCCCGCCACTCGTCCTCGCCCGAGAAACCAGCCGCCACTCTCCTCGTTAAACCAACAGGACGACCAGCAAAAGGCTGCCGATCCCCGGTAGCCCCGCCCCCCTTGGCCCGCCCCCACAGCACGGTATCCAAGGCACGCTGAGACAGCCCCGACTTCCAGCACCGAACGGCTTGAGAGTTCACACACGGATTTAAGCTAAAATTAAAAATAGTAAATAGAGTAAGGTAAACAAACATTTTAGGTTAAAAACCTTGGTGACTGCGTGTATTGTGTGTTTGCACAGTTCAAATAGAAAGAGTACAAGATTAGTCAGTAAAGTTGAGCTTTTGTTTTTTGATATATTATGTAATCTCTTCTTGATCTTCCTTATTTATATTATATCTTATTATTTTATTTTCTTTTTTATTTTTTATCAGCTCAATTTTATATTCTTATATTAATTTTTTCTTTTTTATATAGATATGATCATTCTGGTGTCCTATATGATTGCTATATATTTTATTTTTATCTTTTTTTTTTTTTATATGTCGATATTTGTGATATTTATATTCTTGATAACTATTTTTATATATATTGATTTTATCTTATATTATATTTTTTATTATATGTGTATTTTGATATTTAATATCTTTATTTTAATATGATTATTATGTTGTTTATGTGTTTTATATTATTTTATTATATTGTCTTAAGGATGTATATTGTGTATATGGCTTGTCGGCTTGGTAGTATTGCAGTGCAGTTAGTGACTTATGACATTGGTGCTATGGTAGTATGAGATCGGAATTTTTGGTGTTTCATTGTATTTGTATCTATGTTACCATGTTCTTGTGAGGTGTCTTATTGGTATAATATATGTTCTCTGAGTTTCTCTTGATGAATCATAATTTGGAGACTGGTGCAGGAACCAAGTGTCGCATGTGCGTGTTGTATTGGTGGGAGTTTGCTGATGCATTCAGATATTTAGCTAGTGTATGCTGGTTATTTCGTTATGTCTTAGGTGCATTTGCTGTATCGAGTAGAAGAGAAGAGCGGCTGGCAATTCTGAGCTGGGAGGGGAAGGACAGACAGATTAGATCTATACATGACAGACAGTATCAGACAGCGGACAGACGACAGACAGGACAGACAGCACGCCAGGACAGACAGGGGATGAGGTACAGAATGAGAGAGCAGAGAAATAACGAGAAGCACAAACCCTGAAAGCTGCGATCGGGGGCGGGGGAATGCAAGAGAGCTGTCTGTCTGGCGGGTCTGTCATGTCTGGTCTGCCGGTGCCCATGAAGTGAGAAGCACGCCAGGACTCCCCGCCCCCGCGTCTGCCGTCTTTACTTCCTTCTCAGGGTTCCTTCTATCCATTTTGCTCATCCAGTATCCGCAGTTTCATGTTCAAACCTGCACGCAGCAGAGATTTTCCTCCCGAGCGTACGACGACCAGTTTCACTGAACAATAAAACATGACCTTCGTGGCTGGCAGCGGCGTTAATGGTCTCCGGTATCTGTCTGTGGTCAGCGATGGGCCGGGCTTTATTAGCACCTGGGTCCGGATGTTGGCTGTGTGGCTCTTTGCATTAAAACACCCAAGGCACTACGTGCCAGAACCGCTCACGGATTCCCCCCACGAAATCAATACCTATTAACAGTGACTGAGGGAGAGGCGTCGTTAATTGAGGCAGGTGCGGGAAGACTAAGCAACACTGTTCGGGTTTTACAAACGTTGCCACCGTCTCCACCAGGTAACGTCTGTTCTTTTCAACAAATGCTAAAACCGGAGTCTGCTGACTTCAAGGTACAGTTCATTTTGGGTCAAACGGACGTAACCTAAGATACAATCCTAAACTAAATTAAGACGTCGTCAAACTAGATGAGAGCAGTGCAGATCTAAGACGGTTGTCCCGTCGGTGCGGACCATCGTCTTTTCTGAAATGCGTCCACAACGTGTGTTCCGGCTAAGTCCGAGCGATGCGCTGTGACAGGTTTAGAAACGTGGGATGATTAGTAGTATGAGCTCACAATAAGTGTGTAGGGGTAGGTATATAAGTGTAGTGTAAGAGTGATTGTTTGCAGTTGCAGGTAATAAAATCGATCGTATTGTAGTAACGAGACTGTGGTCCTCTGCTACAGAGAAACAGAAGCCTCGATATTAGCCTGTTGCTTTGTTGGTTAATATCAGGCGTCAGCTTAAAGAAGAGCGCGCGTAGTGAGTCGACGCAGGCCACCAGAAGAAGTGGATCAATAGTAAGGTGGACTCGCAGCCTGTGGTCCTTCAGGGTAGCTGGTGGTGGTTCAGACTGCGCAGTGCTTTCAGGTGGAGGCTGCGTGTCTGATGGAAGAGGTCTGAACACCTTGTAACAGCTTCTGTAAATGTGGTAACACACTCCTGCCCTCACCTGGCCAGGTCCAGGGCCTCCACGTGGGAGGTGCTGCGGCTGTCTGGATCGGGACAGAGGTCGGAGGTCAGGCGGGGGCTGGGGGGGTCGGAGGTTGAGTCCGTGGTGTCTGTGGGCTCCCACAGAGCGTTGTGTTCAGACACTAGCTGGCTCAGATGCCCTCTGGAGAAATTAGCCCCCCAGCCTCGATGGCGGTACAACGAGGCCTGCTGCCTCAGCTCCTTCACCTGGACCGGGACACACAGGGAGTCTGTCACACATTTCTGAACATCTCTACGGATGCTCAGATTCTGAATATCGGCAGATTAGATTCGATATTTTGGTTATTTCAAAGTAAAAGCACCAAACACTCTCTGTATGTGACGATTTGCTGCTTTTCTTTCTTTTATTTTCACATTTTATTGACTATATTTAGTTTGATATAGATATTCATGGTTCCTTGACCCTGACCTTCCCTTTAGGGCCTCCATGAGGCCTGAAAGTAGAAGCAGACGAGAGGCTGAATGACTTTAAACTCCTCGTCTGTAGGCGTTAATGATACTTCCATGGAGTCTCGACCCAGTTTGAAGTTTCAGTTATGCACAGAAACTTTTATTTTATTTTACTTGATTAAAGTTGAATCATTACTAGTAAATATCTGTTCTTCTACTTGAGTGAAGTTTGTGTGTAGTTTTGCCACCTCTGTCCACTGGTGAGCAGACGCCATTGCTGATTGATGTAAAACCAATCAACAGCGCAGTAAAGTCGCCACAGACTGCAGATTAAAAGCTCTCCGTACTGCGACAGACAGAGAGCTTTACCTGCAGGCGATAATCAGCAATGTGTAAGTGAAAACACATTTTATTGAACAGTTGTTGTGGTTCCTTTATAGAGTACTGAGATCTATCTGTGTGTGTAGGCGGATGATACAAATGTCAAACCAAGTCTGCATCAAAACAAAGTTCAAAGTTGCATTTATGGGCAAATCTGCAAATTATACTTTTGGTTGACTCTGCTCTGATCACGTAATTTATCTGGGTTGCAGCCTTTGCAAAATCTCAGCTCGTAGATTCTGGTAACCTGACCCCAGCCCTGGTCCTGGATAACCCCTGGCCCTGTTTTTTTCAAAGCTCACCTCAGTTTGTCTCTAGCCTAAACCTCAACCCTCGAGGCCAACCGTAAGCCTGACGCTGCACAGCTCGCCGCCGTCGCTCTGCTGAATGACAGCGGCTCTGTGAAGAATTTATTGTTTCCCCTGAACAGAACAGAGAGCGACTGACGTCAGCTGACAGATTCCCCTCCACATACTGAAACTCTTCACAGAGCCGGGTTAACCACAGGGATGGAAAGTTAATCGGACGGTTACACATCACCCACAGACTCATTGATCTCTGGCTCCGTTTCATTCAGAAGAGATGATGTGCAATTACAATTAGTTTAAAGCTTCTGTTGGGCTGCTGGGAGTCTGAAGACTATTCATCAGACCTGTTTATTAGGCCCACAGAGCTAAAGCTGATACAGCTCTGCTATAAATCTCTATAAATCAGTTTTAGAGAGGTTTGTCATATTTTATAGCAATGAGGGTGTGAAGGTTTGGTTTCAGATGTTAGAGCACTGCAGTCGGAGGTTCTTTAACCACATAAAAAGTGGTGTTAACGCTTTTTATTCACATGCATTTATACTAAACTAGCAATGAATTAATGCACAAACGTCTCTTCCACTTTATTTAAATAGTCTGAATACAGATAATATAGAGTTTATCGAGTCTTTGTAACATTTCACCTGTTTAATTGTGTTTTATTTTGTTACCAATACTTGGATATGCAAATAAGGTAAAGACTGAGATATAGTATCACTAAAACTTCAATTGCACATCATCACTTCTAAACTACAACATTATTATCCTTATAGCTGGAATCTGGAATCGTATAAATTAACGCCTGTACCGCTCACATAAAGCTGATTATCACCACAAGATAAATCCCTCTGAGTTTTTGTGTCGCACCGGTAGCGACGCGTTTTACGTCAACCAGCAGTGATTGGTTCGCCAGAGCTGCAGGGCCGTAACCACGGAGTCGTTCAACGTGCCCTCGTTGATTTGCCCTCGGAGGGGGGGAAGCCCCGGCACCGTGAGTCATTCCGGTTTTCTGGAAAACTCAAGTGAAGTTCGTGACATCGATCGAGTCATCGATAATGGTCACTCAGCATCACTCAGCGCTCTCGTTTCTCATTTCCGTTATGATGTCAACGAGCTGCTGGTTTAACGTGTTTAAACAGATCAGTGGAAGGAAGAACATCCCTGGTTTTGGTTATTATATGGTTATTATGGTATTTAAAGGTGGGGTCAGTCATTCTGGACGAACACTGTTGATTGTTGATCGATCATATTGGCTGTTTTCTGTGCGCTCCGTGTGGATTTGAGTGGGTATGTTTGCCCTTGATGCTCATGTGAAATTACTCTGACTCACTTATTTCTCACAAAAGCTGCGCCGGTTAAAATAGAAACACTCCGTCATGCTCACTCGACTTCTATCACCAGCAGCTCAACTTATTTACATGAATACAACACTG